TAGGGAAACATGACTAATATGTGCCATGTGTTGTGCTTTCGCAGCGGGGTTGGCAAAGGAACCAAGTTCTGTTTGTTTGCTTTTCATTGGCATGACATTAGCCATGCTGTGGCTTCTGAGTTTCTAGTCCCGATGCTGCTATTTGTGTTTTCATGTCCAAAAATATAATGCATAGGGAAGCTCATTTCACATATTTTGTGCTTACGTTTTCTTTCAGAAGTTAGTTATTTAGGTTAGTGCTTTAACAACTAGATACAATTTGGGTAAAAAGCCCTGACAGTAAAAAATACTTAGATTGTGAATTTAGTTCTCCTCATGCCCCAATATCATCTGTGGCGTGGATTAGGCTCCATTATGTCATTGGTGAAGTCCTTGGCATGCCACTAGCTTCCTTCGTGTGTTTTCTCTTTGCCCAATATCATGACTCCCACGACGACTATTTTGGCATAAAGCCTGTCCCAGAGCTTAACACACGAGTCAGACATCTGTCCTTTTTTTTTTTTTATTGTGAAACTTTACAGCTAAGAAGTTGTTCAACTTGAAATTAAAGTTTATTGTAATGCCGTTTCAACATCTGGCATTTTGTAGAGATGCTGGTTTCTGAAGGCACTTAGTTGCTTTCTGTCTTCTGCAGGCTTCCAGCTTTTCTGTCCAGATGTTGTGGCAGCAAGAGCACTGGAATGAAAGATTTGTAACTTCATTTTCAAGTTGTGGAGTTGCTGTTGCTAATGCCAAACCTTGTTTTAAATTGATGAAAGCATTTGTCGCCTTAATGGTCTTTGGAGCAGTCAGATGTTCTCGTGAGGTTGTACAGTATCACCAAAGGATGCGAACTGACTCACAGCTGGTATTATTTTACCTCCTGAAACAATATTTGAATAGGAGGTTGTTAGTGTTCTTGGTTGTATGGCTGTTTTCACCATGACTAAGTACTGCGATGACTCACCCCACTACCTTCCTATGAATCTGGGCAGGATTTTGGTATTGTGTGACAGTTTAGTGGTTGATTGAAAATTAGATGCTGTTGATCTTTTCTCTGTATAGCCATTGAGTTACTGAGAGCCTGTACTGAATCTCTGCATTTTTACACAATGAGGCTAGCAGATGGGCTATACACATGCTTTTTTTTTTTTTTTCACCACTGCCTTATCTGACAGCAGCATTTGTATCAATACATTTACTCCAGCTTCCATTTACTTGAACTTTGTCTGCTGACACACAAAGTTCAGAGAATTTGCAGAGAAGACTGCAGTGGAAGAGGTTGAGTGATCTTAGAAAGCTGTACTTTTTATTATGTTTTTTTTTTCTTCCCCGTAGGAAGTCTTTGTAGTCTTATTTATCCCCCAAAAGGCTTGATCACAAAGTAACAGACTTGTACCCACATGGAGTTCCATCGCTGTTGCTAAGTCATTCCGACCATCTTGGAGTACAGCAGGGACAGATGAGGCATCCAAAGCGCACGCGCCCGTCACTGCTGGAACAGGCTTCTTGGCAGGGAATGTGTGACCAAACGGTTTGGCTAATAAGCAATGGTACGGATGTTCCTTTTAGCCCAAGAGTCTTCGGTCTGTGGGCCAGATACAGCCTATAAATTTGTTTCATTGCTTTTGACCCAGACTATACAATACTGCGATGCATAGAAGGCATAGCTGATCATCAGTGCGAAAAAGGTTGTCCCCTCACCAAGGCGGCATTTCATTAGGTTCTCTAGACACCAAAATTCTGCCCCTTGGACTTTGGATTATCCTTTATTCCATTTTTGTTGCTTTTTAGGAGAAGCTTTTAAAGGCGAGTATTTGGAGTTAGTTTTGCAGTATCAGAGCTGAAGTCAGTGATGGTATTTGGCTCAGCACGGCAGCACATGGGATGTGGTGACTCAGTACAGCAGAGGGGAGGAACCAAAGCCATTGCGGAAAGGAAGCTTATTCACCCTTAACCGCCTTCTTTGGAGGGGATGTCACCATGGTATCACAACATTGGGGCGTACACAGTGCACTATCTCTTGTCTGCTGTTTAGACACAGCTGTCTCCTCCTTAAATAAAAATGTGTGGAAAAATAATGAATGGGGTAGGATGAATTTAGAAATTTAGATGCGTGGTTTTCCCACGCTGGCAACCACTGTGGTGTAAGTGGGTGGCCATGGCTTTGTGTTTCGAACCAGAAAACTTCCTAGAGTCTCAGGGTATTAATATAAATACGTTCAGCCATTGAAGTAGTTGTTAATCTATATCTAGGAGTGTTTTAAAATAATGAGGGGTCTGATTGGCTGAATGTACGTTTTTCTTTTGACCCCATGCACTTACATGAGCTCTATAGTGGCCAGAGGAGCTGCCTTCGGCTTACAGCCCTCCAGGTGCTTCATGGGGATGCTTTCCTTGCCTTTGCTCTCCAGAATGGCCAATAATTTTAAGCTCTTATGGCTATTTATGCTTGCCTTGCAATTACGTTTTTTGGTAACGTTCTCATTTATAGCTGGAGATTAGGTAAATGCAGAGATGGATGTATAGAAATAAGAAGTAAAACATTGATAGCCGCAAAAAGGAAGCATGACAGAAAAAGCAGTACTTCTTGTTAATATAAATAAATTCACAGCCTGATAAAATCCCCTTTCCTGGTAACTTTGTCCTCTTTCCTGGTAACTTTGTTCTGCCTGTTGTATTGTGCATTTACAAAAATTCTCCATGATTAACCAAACCTTGCTAGCAGACCTTTCAAAGTCTTCATATAAAGAACCTGCTTGTTAACCTCCTCTTGGACTTTCCTTCTCTATCAAAGCAAAGTCAGTGTCAAGAGCTTTACAAAAGTACCAGTTCTTATAGTTAAGACTATTTGGTAAAGACCCTGCTCAGGCTTACTTAGTGCAGGCTAAAACTCCAGGTATTATCACAAGATCTTTTCTCATCCAGGCTTTGAATTATCAGGTCTACTTCTAGTGATGACTGTTCAGAAGGGGAGAGATTCTATCCTGACTGTTGAGCACTTTTAAATGCGGAAACCAAAGGGTGGTGTGTCTCCCATATATGCTGCATCTGCCTTTTAACCTCAGGAAGACCTTGCCCGGAGTTGTCAGAGTTAAGATCTATGTTTGTCTGACAAATTCTCTTTAGAAACAAGTATAAAGTTCAAGAGAGAGATTTGACAACAAAGTCTGCTGTTTCTTTCTTTTCATGTCTGCCTTGATGGGACAGCTGGAAAGCAAAGGGGATTCTTTGTAAACTCTGCTTATGGGCTTAGCAGTCCTTTGGGGGGAGTTTCTCCTCCTTGAACTTCAGTGCTTCTTATCTATAGGGGAAATCTGACTCAAAGATGTATTATAGCATCAAAGGGTGTATGCTATTAATCTAGATGCATGACCAGCTTCTTGACCGAAGTTTCCTGAGCTACTGTGGTCATGCAGTAAGACTCACTAAGGCTTGCTAACTTTTCCCAGGTGTGAATGATTGTTCCTGCTGGAGCAGGAGCACAGTGGCACAGCAAGGAGAATGAGGATCATTGCTTTTTTTTCTTTTAGGGGCTTGTTGGTCTTAAACTCACAGTGGCTCCTGAGTGCTGGAAAAGTATTTGTTGGGGAGGCCAAGGGTTATCCACCTGTGTGCAGTGCTGGGGTGTTGATGGAGAGTACTCAGCTCTCCTGTAGTGTGTGCTGGTCCACTGCACGTGTATATTTACATCCATCACCTTCTCCCACAATGTCTCTGATGTATGATATTTCTGCTGCCAAATACATAACAACCCACTGCTCTCTTGACCCAGAAGAGGCCTGTCACAAGCTGTGACCTCCTTTAACTCAGTAAGGAGATTGAAAGACTTTTTGTCTAAGTTAATGAATTGACTTGCTCTGTGATGAGTGCCAGTGGGAGAAAAATAAGTTAAGGAGGAAGGAGTGGAGAAAATATGATATTAATTCAGAGGTAGTATGCTCTTAATTCAGCCTGACCCCACAAGAGCCCCAGTCAAAGTGCCAGGGCTGTTATCTATCAGGCAGTTGTCCCTTGGACTTGAAGAACCCCTTTTGTTCAGAAACTACCTGTTTTGGAGACTTAATAAAAACAGGGATCCTCAGTACGGAATAGATCTCTGGGCAGTCTCTCTCAAGCGATTACCAGGTTGTCAGGTTTGTTTGAAGGCTCCTTTTGTCAAAAAAAAACCCCAAACAAAAACAACAAAAAAAACCAAAGAAAGAAACACAAAAATAACTTTGTACGGGCAGGCTGTGTACGGGAGAGCACAGATCTAAGCTGAGCTGAAGTTAAAGTCCCGTTGTTGCCTTTTGGCCAAAGGGTTTATTTGCAGAGCCCTTTAACATCCTCCTCTGTAAGAAGAATTGCTGTGAAGGGTAACTGCTAAAGCCCTCATGTGGCTGGGGGACAGAGGATCACGCTGTTAATTGTAGATTAGCCCATCTAAAAATGTCTCTCAGCATCTTCTGACCCCAATCTCTTCCCCAGCAAGCACAGTGGCTGTGCTTGGCGGTGCCTCTGAATGCACCATGGCACCAGGGGCTGCGCAGCTCCCAGGGAGGAGGGTCTCAGGGCTGTGAAGGAGGCTGTGAGAAGGGTCACCATTTTGCAGGGTGAAATGGAGGTGCTGTCGCAGAGGAGGGAGGGGAACATCCTTGTTGCTTCATAATCTGCCACAGGAGAACGGCAAGGTGATTTTCCTGTTGGAAAAACTTCTCTGACACAACATTTTCTCCATTGCAGTATGAGCAGCCAGAGGCAGGACTGAAGGGAAAGGTTTATGTTTGGTTCTTCCCCTCTAGGTTATGAAATAGTCAAAGCATCTCGGGTTTGGAAATTACTCTGAAATTCCACATCTGCCACCTTTCATGAGATGCAAAGAGGGCCGTGGGGCAAATGTCATTCGTAGAGCTGCTGCTGGACATCAGCTGTGAAAAGCGATGGGCAGCCTGGAGGGAGTTGCAGGTTGCTGCGTTCCTCCTTGTGCTATCTGAGCAGTGCTGGGTTTGAGCCTGAGGGTCACCAAGAGCTGCTTCTCTGGAGACTTTCTTCTGGCCACCCATTTGAACCCTGGCTTCTCACCTGTGAGCTTTTGACCCTTTTTCTATAGGATAGAGCTCACTGTATAGAGACGACTGCTTTGCTGGCCTCTGACTTGCTAGCAGCTGCAACTGGTTCATGTTTCTTGAACCTACAGTCCTACACATGCTGCGGGACCGTTCTGTGGGATCTGATGTGTAATAGTGACTTTCCTGTGCTCACTAAGCAGGGCAACAGCAGAGCTGGTGATGGGAACAGGGAGTTCTGTGTTGGGTTGTGGGAGACCCATCAGCTGGGTCTTTAAATCTCTAATCACCTTGCTAATGGGCTGCAGAAACCCCATGGCTGAGCAGCAAGGTAACCACTCTGTTAAAGTTACATTGGTTTCTGAAAATAATTACAAAAAATAGAGGTAATGTTTATATAGTTGTGGTCTCCTCCTCCCTCTGCTTGGTAGGGGATGGTGTGGAAAAATACTGTCCAGACAGCCTGGGCCCTGGGGCTGCGGCGTGCAGGCTCAGTGTATGTTGGCTCCATCCCAAGAAGGGTGAAATGGTGTGTGGGACTGGGGAACAGTACCTGCCTTCAGACCTTTCCTGACACTCTGGTGACTAGCGCCAGAGACGAGATGTGGGACTAAACAGGAAGGCCTCTAGCAAGAGCCTCCAGAGATGTATAAGGTGAAAGGAGCTCCTGTTTGGTAGGAGTCTGGCAAGAGACCTTAAAGGGAGCTTGTCCATAGGGTAGCCCTCTGGATGGCAAGTCGAACAGGCGTTGATTAAAAATGGGGGAGGGAAAGGAAAACAACCTATGCTTGAGAAAACACTGACTTTTTTGAGGAGAGACTGCACCCCTGAGTTCCTGCATGTGCCCACAGGCCCAGCTCTTTGCCTTTTCCCCATCCTGCTTCCTGACCTGTAGACACTCAATTTAATATTAAGCTTTCTTTCAAATAGTCCCAGCATGGGTGATAACTGTGCTGGTAGATCATAAAAAGTCTGCTTTTACTTTTTTTTTTATTACTCTGGTCTTGAGGAAATGCAACACCTGCCCGGAAATGGCGTGTGTTTGTGTACCTGCATTTGATCTGCCTTAGAGGTAAAGTGATGGGAGGGATCATCTCATTACAGCTGAGGTGGTTATTAGTTATAATGCACAATCCCTATGTAGTACAAAAACTAAAGAATAAGGTATCAATAATGAATTTTTTATTTTTTTTTTTAACAGGGGACTGTTGGCTCTTGGCTGCTATTGCCTCTCTCACCCTGAATGAAGAAATACTGGCCCGTGTGGTTCCCAAAGACCAGAGCTTCCAGGATAAATATGCAGGAATTTTCCACTTCCAGGTAGGTGGAAGACTGGCTCTTGCTGTCCCCCCCGGGCTGTTGGCCAGGAATCGGTGTGGCTAGCCATGTCCATGTGTGCTGTTTCCTTGAACATTTTGAGGGGCATCAAAGGGCCAGGCAGAAGAATGGAGTCATCCAAAAAGGGGTGATGGTGGTGGAAGGAAGAAGACTGCTAAGCAAAGAGCTGCGAGCAGGGGCTGCCTTTGTGGTCCTTCCTCCATCGGCAGATCCAGCTGAAGATGTGCATCCCTATACAGGGTGGGCGAAGCTGGCTGTGAGAGGGATTGCTTTTCCTCAGGGAAATTGGTGTTAGCAGATAAAACGCCCCAGTGACCTGAATGCACAGCACAGGGCGGTAACAAGGAGTTTGTGCTCTCTTTCCAGTTCTGGCAGTACGGGGAGTGGGTGGACGTTGTGGTGGATGACAGGCTGCCCACCAAGAATGGGGAGCTGCTCTTCGTGCACTCAGCGGAGGGCAGCGAGTTCTGGAGCGCGCTGCTGGAGAAGGCCTATGCCAAGTGAGTGAAGGCCAGGGCGACCCTGCTGGGGCAAGGGAGACTGCTTTTAACCCACTCAAATGTCCTTGTGCCTCTCCTTCCCCATAGCATCCCCAACTGCACAGATATTACGCTTTTAAAATGTCAGCCTAATTGTTATTCTTTAAAACTTCTTGGGTGTCCCTGGGTGGCTGCTTTAGTAAAGCTTTGCTGGCAGGTGCTTAGGACAAGTAGCCAAAAGTACCAGCTTTGCTGGTAGCCAGGAAAAACAGTTCTTGCATCTCATGGCAAGGCTGTTCCCAGAGTGCTGTCCCCTGCCACCGGGGCATGGGAAGCTCCACTTCATCTGCTCTACACACCTGTGAGGGCTTGCAGCTGCAGTGCTTCAGTGTGCAAGGCACACCAGTCCACGTGCCCAGGTCTCTCAAATCTGAATTTCGAGTTTGGGGATGGTCAGGGAGGAATTCTGCCATCTAACATTACTATTTTCAATTGACTTAAGAAATTGAGCTGATTCAGGTCAGCTGAAAATTAGACGTATAACTGTTAAAGGAATTAAAAGAGTGTGTGGAACTAGAGAGGCAAATTGTTGGGTCTTGATTTTTTTTTTTTAATATTATTTTTTCTTCAAATAGTGATCATGATTTTTGTCATTGATATGAGTGAACCTGCAACCTGTACACATGGTCGTATAAGATGGGCTTTCTAAGTACAGAGGTGTCAGAAGCAAAGCTGAGGGGGGCACATTCATAGCTGCTGTGGTGCTGTTGAAAGCAGAAATGCTGTGACAGTTGGCACAACTGAATGCTCCTCTCCAAGAGAAGAGGAGAATAGGGAACCTGATCATAGAAAGCATCAGGGACACCTCCCACTAGAGCAGGTTGCTTAGAGCCCCATCCAACCTGGCCTTGAACACCTCCAGGGATGGGGCAGCCACAACTTCTCTGGGCAACCTGTTCCAGTGCCTCAGCACCCTCAGAGTGAGAAATTTTGTCCTAATATCTTATCTAAATCTACCCTCTTCCCTCTGATGGTTGTGTGTGTGAGAAGAGAAAAATAGGAAGCCTGATGGTTTTGTGTGTGTGTCCCCTTTCATGCAGGCTGAATGGCTCGTATGAGTCTCTCTCTGGTGGCACCACCACTGAAGGCTTTGAGGACTTCACTGGTGGAATTGCAGAATGGTATGAGCTGCAGAAGGCACCACCCAACCTCTTCAAAATCATTCAGAAGGCACTTCAGAAAGGGTCTCTCCTTGGCTGCTCCATCGACGTGAGTTAGTGGGCTTATTGCTGGACTCTCAGTTCTTGCTGTGCGTGTGGGCAGCTCGGGGATGGAGCTGTGCTCCATCCACAGGAGGTGTGCAAAGGGTGCTGGTGCCCTCTGCCTCTGGTTCTCTGCTCTCCCTTTGACCCAAGAGTGTGACACAGGCGTGTATTTTTCTGGGGCATTGTGTCTCAAAGTAGGTTGAAATCAAAATATGTTGACTTCATGCGTAAAAGCTCAATGCCTCCAGTGTTTTTCTTCCTCAAGACTTAAATCTTTTCCTGTTTCATAGATTCATGGTAACGAATCATACAGGAAATTCATTTTAGGTGTCCTGATGTATATCTTTGTTCTTAAGAAAGCCCGTAGCTTGGCAGCAGGTTGGTACAGGCTGGGTGGGTTTGGACACAAAGCTGCTACGAATGGCTTCTGCTGTCAAATGCTCAGAGGCGGCAACCTCCATCCTTGCCGTAGCTGTTTGTTGCACAAATCTTACCAAAATGTTCCCAAAAATTCTGGGCTCTGTTCTTGAAGCAGAGAGGCTTGAACTGCTGCCAGGCCTTTAAAAGGCTTTGTGGGAAAACAGGTTGCCTAAAGCTGAACCTGCATCAGAAGGAAAAGAGGAGCTTTGGCCCTGCTTGCAAGGATTCAGCATCGCTTTTAGCCTAACTGAAGTGAGTCTAAGTGTCGTGATTGCAATAATCGCCCTACTCCCAAAGGAGATTACATCTTAGTTATGTCTAAAGGGAAGGTAAACTGTTTACGGGGACCCTGTTCACAATGTAAACTCAAGTGTTTCCTCCCATTTTTTAAGTTAAATCAGAGTCACAGGAGAGGGAAGCTTCACAGCAGGAAAAGTACTTGGTTGATGTCAGCGTGCGACTTCACAGCACTTTTGAGGCCTGTTTTACTAGTTTGCATTTAGATAAGAATCTGACATCTGGATTTTTGCCCCAAAACGATACAAATCTCATTGGGGGTGGGGAGGAAGTAAATATACTCTTTTGTTGGTAAGTGCTGACACTTTCTGTATTATAAACTAATTATTAGTGAGTTTAGCCTTTGAAAAATCCTGTAAAATCTTTTCCTCTCTTCTGTTGGAGAAATAGGGACACAGAGGTTAAGAGTTACATGGAGAGTGCACTGCAGGGCAATAACAGGGCATGAATTGACAG